GAAGCCAGAACAAACCGTGATGCGATCCGACCCAGTTCTAAAAGACAGAGGCACACCTCTCTTGGCTGCTTGTGAAGAACTACAAGAAGAAGAAAAGATTTAGCGTCCGGTAATTCCAGTGGGACATAAATCAGGACAAAAAGGCAACGAGGGAAGCAGAGTGACTGTGTGATGATAAAATGCACATAAAAACAAGCTTCATGCATCCAAGTCCTTTGACTCTGTCACACTGTCCACTTACAACTAAATGAGTGTATTGATTGGAAAATATGGGGTTGAAAAGTTAATTTTATCCATGTGAAACCAGACAGGAAGTGTGGGCGACAAAAAGGCATGATAGTATGGGGTGCCATTTGTAAAGTTACACTGTTAAAAATAAACAGCAATATTTTGGTTTGTTTAGCCTTTCGTTAATAAAATGTTTTTTTTTTTTCAGTCATATTTTCACTATGTAATTAATACATTTATAAATGTCACAGTTCCAAATTAATATTTAATTTACAAGCTAAATATTTAGTTTACAAATACTTAACTTGCAAGTTAAATATTTAGTTAGCAAGCTAAATATGTAGTTCCACATTAAATATTTAGTTTACAAACTACATGTTTATGTTCATGGTATTAGTTTAATTTAAAAACAAAATATTTACCTTTCAAGTTAAATATTTAATTAGAAAATTAAATATTTTGGTGTAAATGAAACATCAAATTTCCAAACTAAATATTTATTTTCAAAACTAAACATTTAATTTCCAAACTAAATCTTTATTGTCCAAGCTAAATATTTAATTTCCAAACAAAACATTTAATATTGAAGCCACACATTGAATTAGTAAACTAAATATTTAATTTGCTAACTAAATATTTAGTTCAGACCTAAATATTTATTTTCCAAGCTAAACATTTTATTTCCAAAATAAATATTTAATTTGCAAACTAAACATTTAGCTTGGACCTAAATATCTAACTTGCAAGTTAAATATTTAGTTAGTAAAATAAATATTTAGCTAAATGTTTAACTTGCAATTTAAATATATATTTTTTGTAAATTAAACAATTAGCCTGGACATAAATATTTAGTTTGTAAACTAAATATTTAGTGTGGAACTAAATATTTAGCTTGCTAACTAAATATTTAACTTGCAAGTTAAGTATTTAGTTTGTAAACTAAATATTTGGCTTGTAAGTTAAATATTTAGTTTGGAACTATGACATTGATAAATGTATGAATAACATGGTGAAAATATGACCAAAAAAACATTTTTTTTCTTATGAAAGGCTATAAATAAACCAAAATATTGCTGTTAATTTTTGACTGTGTAAGTTTACAAACAGCACCCCATATGACAGATGTGACACACCACACCACACCATGCAGGTACAAGCAGAAAATCCACCGTATGAAGGCAAACCTGGTGCAGTTCCCGACAAACTGAGCAATTCATCCAGAGAGAGACAGAAACGAACAAAGAGCACTCATCAGCTGCTGTTGTTCGCTCACACATTTTCACAACATTTCATCACACTTTAGTGTCTCCCGCGCTCGAAGGTGAAAATAATTCAGTGTGGATCTCTTACTGGGAATAACTCTTGGCTGCTAGAAATGAAAGAATTTGCACAATTTACATAGCTAAAACCTCAAAAATGCAGATTTGTTTCAAGCTCTTATCTTTTCCTCTTATCTTTCAGCCTCAACATATCTTCACTGCAAGCATGTTTTTGAGTACTGTGCATGGAAAATCTTTGAGGGACATAAAGCACAGGGAGTGAGAATGTGGAGGAGAATAAATATTATTATGAGCTGATGAAGACATCTAGCCTGCACAACGATGGCCGATTTTAGTGTGTTTTGTCTGCGCTCCGTTTGTTTTCAAGATGTCTTTATGGAGCTGCTGCCATCTGTTCTCCTCTCAGACTGCCGTCCCTGTCAGCTCTCTGTGGCTCGGCCTGGAGATGTGTGGTCTGAACCTCAGAGGGAGGCAGGAGGGGAAAAGAAGGGCCTGAGCAGTTCTGTATCTGCACGATCAGCCCGTTCTCAGGAGGCAGACATCTGAGTCCATCAGTCTTTGTTTGTGTACATAGACTGTCCTACATTCTGTGAGGCGGGGAAAAAAATCACACTCACCTAAGTCTTCTGACTCAAAGAGACAGGTGTCTCCGACTCCGACCTCGCGGCACCAGGACAGGAAGTTGGCGGTGTTGTCCCGAGCGAAGAAAGAGCCGGAGGGAGCACTCCGTCGACACGGTATCCTCCGGTGAGGGAGTCTTGTCTGATGACACAGAAAAGGTCAAACTACAAAATGAGCTGAAGATCAGAGCCATTCAGGTTCAGTGATAAATATGACACTGGTGAGCATTATCTTTTAAAGGGATAATCCAGCAATTTTTGAAGGGATTCTTTGTCAAATATGGGCAGTGGTTGGCACTGTCGCCTCACAGCAAGAAAGTTCACCTCTCTGGCTTTTCTAGGTGGAGTTTGCATGTTCTCTCCGTGCATGCATGGGTTTTGTCCGGGTACTCCAGTTTCCTCCCACTGACATAAAAACATGCATGTTAGGCTGATTGGGAACTCTAAATTGTCCCAAGGTGTGAGTGAGAGAGTGAATGATTGTTTGTCTCGTTTGTCTCTATGTGGCCCTGTGATGGACTTGCGACCCGTCCAGGGTGTACCTCGCCCCTCGCACAGTGATTGCTGGACATGGGCACCGGCGACCCCCGTGACCCAAAACGGAATAAACGGGTAAAGATAATGGATGGATGGATGGAACCACTGGACAGAACTTAATGAAACTTTCAGTAAATTATCATTTGACATAAATCTATATCTGATTAATAGTTGGAATCAATTCAGTTCAAGATGGCCACCTTACAGTATAAGTCATCAATTTTATAGCTACTGAGAGTAAATTTGGTGTTAGCGGAGACTAATCCCCAACACAAGTTTCAACCTTTAATAAATTGTGCAAAATCTTTGTTTAAAACTTTATCATGCAAAGTGATGGGAAATAAGCATTTCTTGAAGGAATGAGTCAACAGGTTGTTGGTTTATATTAATATATTTGAAGTTGTGTGTCTGATGGACGTGATCAAACAGGCCATGTCTGACCCTCAGACCAGATGTTGTCCATGTAAGGTTCAGAATAAAGTTTTGATTGAGTCTGTGTGGACAGAAAAGTTTCATACGAGAATCTAGAGGACATTTCCCCACAGATCAATACGAGTCAGAAAACTGGAGCTACTTTTCCAGACCTTCCACAGTTTAGGATCAAGTGACGTGCTCGTGAGTTTCAGCACCCACACGGCCTGTTCGGAGAGATTTATGTGCTTTTATGTGTGAGATGTGTGCCTGTGCTTTGAGGAAGGTGCAGTGAGCTCATGCAGGAAATATGCAAGAGTTAGTGGGTATTTTTTCATTTCATTCCCAGCTCCTTTTTTTTCCTCTTCTTTTCTGGGATCATTGTTTTGTTCTACTGCCTTGCAGTGGAAAAAAAAAAAAAAGTTTGCCAGTGACGTTCAATAAAACAATCAGAATGTCCAGCAGGTATTTCTGCTGCAGCTTGTTGTATCATACACACTTTTATGTATTATTGCACACAAAGTAAAAAAAAAAAAGCTCTGCAAAAGATTATTTCTGCAAGGTAAATGACAAGAAACTACAACTGTTGTTTAAAAATAAAGTACAAAATAACATTTCACATTTTAGGAGATAAATTTACTTTATTTCTTATGTTTGGGAGTTTGACCACTGTGTCAGTTTAATAGCAGTTTAGCATAAAGCTGGTAAATGGGGTGGTTCTTCAGCCTCAAATGAATTGTTCAAACCAACAAAGTCCATGCTCAATAATCCAGGTATACAATCCAACAATTTTCAATCAGGTTGGATTGTTCAAACCTTTTGAAAAGGGGTTCTGTGAAACAATTATGAACAAAAATCATTTTACCTGTTCTAGATAGCTCTTTGAACTTCTTTTGGGGAAAAACATATTATAAATCTGATGAGATCGACAAACCGTTGCCAGCATCTTGTTGGGCTGTGAGACTGTGAAAGGATCAAAATTGTTCTGAAATGTTTCCAAAAGCTCTTGATTTCCTTGGTAGAGTTGCAGGATATGTGGAAATGTTTGAAAGATTTGTGCAACAAGGTATGTCTAAAAAATAGTTTCAGATTTGTCATGTGTGACAAATGTCTGTAAAGCTAGAGATCCAGGGCTGTATTTCTTTTTCAAGTTGTATTCAAGCTTGCAATTTAGGGGACAATTTTTTTTTTCTTTTTGCTCTTGGTGAAGGCGGATACTTTTTCCTCCCGCTCCTTCCCCTGCTTCTGCTCTTTGTCCTGTAAAACTTTCGGATCCCCTCATTGCATATCTTCTGAATTGTAAATTATGGATCTGATCAGCTGGTCTCTCAACGCAATTGATCAAATTTTCTCAACAACAATACAGGGCGAAGAAGAGCCCTCCTGCCCCAACGGGACACTTGCAGCTGGATACACGATGGATTCCTGCCTGGGGGGCAGTGGAAGATCGTGTGTCTGTCCATATTGTCGGTCGAGGATGTAGAAGACGCGTACATAATTGGATTTATGATAACAGGATTTCTGCTTTTTGGAGTTGGTGGTTACCTGGCATATTGACAAATTTGAAAAACGTTGGCAGCTGTTCTGGCCATTGTGAAGCTGCCTGGACTGTGTGAAGGAATGTGCCGTGCTGTGAACACTCAGACTCAAATGCTGTGTGAGCTGAGCCGTAAGCTGGACGCAGTTCTTGCTGAGAATCACAGGCTATTTGCAGTTCCTGAATCTCGCTGGCGGGAAGGAATTGACCTTGGAGAAGTTACAAGCTCGGCTCGATGGTACCGACCACAAATTTGGCTGTTTGGAGTTGAGATGTACCAGTGAGACTGTAAAGGCAGACGGAAATTAACCAGAGTTGGCCTGACCCAAAACAACTCTTGTCATCTGAATCTGGCTCCCTGTGTCTGCCTTGGAAGACTGACTATCTTAAATTTTTCTGGATGTTATGTGAACAAGATGCTCTGCTCCCACTGCCTGTTGCCTTCCCCAAGGACATCTAAAGACCTGTCAGAGCTCTGCTGAGGCCGGCTGATAAACATTGCACCATCACTTATCATAGTCTATGGCTGGTGGGGGGCTGTCTGGAACAGTGTTCATGGACTTACTTACAAATGCACACACACACACATACACTCACTCACACAGCTATAAACACACTCCCCTCAACTCATTGCCTTCACTGGCCTCCCTCCTTTTGACCCCTCAGTGCGGCAACCTAGGTTGGATGTGAGGCACCAGTGACTGCGACGCTCTCTTGGGCGGTCTGTGCTGGGAGCCCCCCCCCACACACACACACACTTCATCCTCACCCACTCCACTTGCATATGTCTTATTATGTCATCTGTATGTTGCTTTTTTTGTGCTGAGGATTTTTGCAACTTCACAACGTGTCCTTAACAGATATGACTTTTTTGTACCTCCTCTTTCCTGGTGTTTCCTTTTCCTTATCTAACAAAAAAAGAGCAACGCCTCTCATGAGGCTGCAGCCTCAGGCACTCCGTCTCCCATGTTTATGTTGTTTAATTGTTTGTGTTTCTTTGGACGGGCTGTACTGAAATGAAATTTCGATGTGCTTCTGTGCAATGACAATAAATTCTGATTCTGATTCTGAAATATTGTTGCAAGTTAGAGTCCAGCATGATTTCAAGTAAAATGTGCTTGTTTTTCCAACTAGTCATCAAAATCCCAGAGAGACTCAGACTAACTAACTAGGCAGACTGTCCAGTCAGAAATAAACTATTTTCTAAAGTGAGGTCATACAAAGAATTTTTTTACAAGATTATCCATGTAATTATTTATAACTTCTCCATCTGAAATGTTCATTTGCAAACCACATTACACAATGCACATATTTTCCAAAAATATTTGAGATGTTGATCATTTCAGTTTGTCTCATTCTATCATCTTAAATAAACTTGATTGTAATAAATGCTACAAATATTTCACAGCGTTGTTTCTACGCTGTAGTTTATTCTTTGTCACTGTTTTTTCAGATGGATGTAGTTTTCAATTGACTTTGTCATAACACAGACAACAAATTTCACTCATAAGCTGCTAAATTATTGATCCACACATCTTTTGCAGAGAGATGAACTAATTTTTCTCAACCCATCTGCTCTTGGATGCTTTGTTTTTTCACAGTCACATCACTTCTCTGTTGCAAGCTCACCTATTTGTGAGTTTCTAGTTGTTTTGTTAATCATAGTCTTGCAATGAACAAAAGTGATGCGACTATGACACAGTGATGCAACTGTGCAGACCCCCTTATGATGAACACAATAAATGGAAACAATGTTCCCTCGCCCGGACGCAGGTCACCAGGGCTTCGCTCTGGAGCCGGGCCTGGAGGTGGGGCACGCTGGAAAGCACCTGGTGGCCAGTCTTTCACCCATGGAGCTCGGCCAGGCACAGCCCGAAGAGGAGACGTGGGTCCCCCTTCCCATGGGCTTACAACCTGTGGGAGGGACCAGAGGGGTCAGGTCCTATGTGGGATGGGTGGTGGCCGAAGGCAGGGACATTAGCAGTCTGATCCTTGGCTACAGAAGCTGGCTCTTGGGATGTGGGATGTCACCTCTCTGGTGGGGAAGGAGCCTTAGCTGGTATGTGAGGTTGAGAGGTTCTGGCTAGAAATAGTTGGATTTGACGCATGGCTCTGGCTCAGGAACCAGTCTCCTTGAGAGGGGTTGGGCACTCATCCACTGTGGAGATGCCCCTGGTGAGAGGCGCCGAGTAGGAGTGGACATACTTGTTGCCCCCATCTTGGTGCCTGTACGCTGGGGTTCACCCCGGTGAATGAGAGGGTAGCCTCCCTCCACCTATGTGTGGAGGGACAGGTTCTGACTGTTGTTTGTGCTTATGTGCCAAATGGCAGTTCAGATTATCCACCCTTTTTGGAGTCCATGGAGAGGGTAATGGAGAGTGCGCCTCCTGGGGGCTCCCTTGTTATACTGGGGGACTTCAATGCTCACGTGGGCAATGACAGTGAGACCTAGACGGGTGTGGTCGGGAGGAACGGCCCCCCGATCTGAACTCGAGTGGTGTTCTATTGTTGGACTTCTGTGCTCATCATGGATTGTCTATAACAAACACCATGTTCAAGCATAAGGGTGTCCATATGTGCTCTTGGCACCAGGACACCCTAGGCCACAGTTCAATGGTCGACTTTGCTGTTGTCTCATCTGATCTGCGGCCGCATGT